AGGTAAATGCTTTTCCTGATGGTTTAGAGATATCTGAGACTCTTAAAAAAATCCCATTTAGGGAGAAATGCAGTACGTACTGCAAGCCTGAATGACCAGCTCATGGCATCTGAAGGGATTTCTGGGAATTTTGGGTTAAGCACTGAGGAGCCAGTTAAGTTACCTTCAGCGGGGTCCTTAGATTGAGTTGGGTAGTGAAATAGTGATGGGAGAAAAGGGGCTTTCTTTCCATTCTGTGTAATGTAAACCTAATGTAGTCTCTGCACAAAAAATTATTGTTGTAGACACTATGTTGATCATGGTGATACTAAACAATTGATTAATTTTCTTATCAGAACGCTGCTTCTGGGACTTAGTTTTTGCTTAAATTTGGCCGAGCTTGAGTGCAGGGCAGCACTATAGCAGTGTTCAATCTTTTTTGTTGCCGAAAAGACAGTGTCTGGGTGTTACCAGTCCTATGATACTGGGTTGTTGAAGGGTCTTGTTGTGTTTGTTGGTATTTTCTTTAAATTCGTTCACCTTTCAATTAATGGTGTTGTATGTGATTTCAGGGTTCGGAACTTGTTAACAACATTTCTTTTCATAATGCAAGTTCTCTATGTCCCACCTGTATTTTTTTTTCTTTTTTTTCAGTAACAAAGGAAACCTCACTGAGAAGAGAATGTTTTCTGTTCTCCCTTAGGTTGTGATGTTGTGCTGGACTGGCTACGAAAGACATATTGGAGCCGTCAGCTAGGCAATAATTTGTGTGAAGAAAGTGAGGACGAGGATGAGGAGGAGGAAGAGGTGGAAGCAAATGTAGAGTTGGACAATGATGCGTGGGAGATTCGAACCCCACAGCATGAGGCCTGTCAGAAACACAAGGAATTCCATGGTAGGTTTCCATAGAGCAATGACATGTACAAGGATTAGACATGTCCCATTCTAGAGAAAGCAGTTTAAAAGTGTCATCTTCTAGCCCTGACGATGCATAAAGTTATACCTTCAGCTCAGGTTTTGAGATTCCTCTTTGGGCCTTAGTAGATTCTGGGGGTGACTGACTTTTTTGGTATTAGTTCACTGAATTTGTAGCATAAAATCTTTTACTTCTATCGAATATGCAGCATCCCAAACAGTAGCAGGAGTTACACTGGAATGGCTTAGGACCAAGCATTGTAAAATCTAGTTGTAGTGTCTTGGCGGCCACAGTTCTGGTATTGAGGCAACTACTGACAAAGAAGGAAGTCCAAAACAATGGGAAATCTTTTGTAAACTGTTCCAGTGGTTTCTTCTCCATCACCAGAAGTCTTCAAACCCAAAATAAGGAGCTTTTCTAAACTTTGAAATGCAGCAGCACTTAGCAGTTTTCAAAGTGTGTGTTTGGGCTTCTGTCTGACTTCATGTTGGATGAGATCCAAGCATGTGCTATTGCTTCCTCTCCCTGGCTACCCTAAAAGCAAAGAGCACCCCACCCCTAGTTGGGAAGAGAGAGAACCACAGAATGATGCAGTAGATTCAGTGATACATATGTCCGGAGTAATGGAATGGCAGTGGTCTGTCAGTCCTGCAGTTCAAATGCGTCTGAAGTTCTGTCCACTGGGTGGTGGGCATCTTAATAGCAGGTGGCAGAAAGATGGTGCTTTTTCAGATACAGTAAAAGTGATCCACAGATAGAGAAAGGACATTTCATGTCGCTGGTAAATTGAAGTTTAATTAGGTCCAATAAGGATATAGTTGGTTTGTGAATAGCCACAGTGCTGTTGCAATAGATTTAAAATGCAAGTATAAGGAATACAAATATAAATCAGAACGTGAGCTGCCTGTGGGAACAATTGATCTGTTTCAGGATTTTTTTGGAGCAGTCTGGATTTTATCCAACTTGCCTGTCTTTGGCCACTGTTAGTGACAAAATACTGAACTCCTTGAAAAAATTTGTGTTGCTGGAAAAGTCAGGGAGGTCTAGGATTCCTCAGAATGTTGTCTGAATCAGAATTTATGACTTCATTTGACTCATGTCTTCCTTGAGTGTATATTCATCAGAACTAAGTAGCTTGTCCAGACACAAAATTATCTTGTGTAGTTGATCCTTTCCCTGATTAAACTATATATTTATGTTTATTTCTAGAAAAAGTCAGAGATGTGCTGATGTCCTACAAGAATGAGCAGTTTCGGGTAAGCGCAGTCTGTTCATCAGCATTTTCAGTTCTTCTAATTTCCTGCTTAGGGCTATAAGCCTTCTCTTCATTCTTTTCCATGTAAGAAAGAGAATCACTTATACCTAAGTCATCTTTGTAACGGTGTAACTGTACAGTCTCTCATCCAGATACTTCTCTAGCTATGTTGTTAACTACTTATTATACTTAAAAGTTTATATAAATCTGTAAGGTGTAAACTAGGCCAAAATAAGCTCTGTCGTGGGAGCTGTGTACTTCGTTGTCTGATTGTTGGTGTGGGTAGACTAGAGGATCTTTGGTCACTCTAGGTCACGTCTTTGTACTTGATTTGTCATCTAAAGTATCTTTTGCGTGCAGTGGTAGCTTTGCATATATAGGTCAAGAGAGATAATCACAGTCCTGAAAATGACACCTTGGTTTTCCAGTCTCCTTTTATGTTACATTCTTACCTGGCAGGAAAAATAATTTCTTTTCTCTCAGTAGCTGTTGTCTTCCAAAAAGAAACTGCTAGATACTTGTTGGTGATGTAACATGCTTCATGCCAATATTTTATAGAAGGTGGTGATGCCACTTGGGTAGGTTGTGAGCATAAGTAGACGGCATGTCTTGCCTTGCTGGACAGACTCAGATAAGGTATGTAGCAAACCAAGAAATCACAAGCTTTCCAAGGAGTACTAACCTCCAGTATTCTCTCTTCCATTCTTGTCCCAACCGGGTAGTCTGTTTTTTGTATTGCTCCTACTCATCAGATGCTCTCAGCTGATTACATGTTGCCTAGATGGCTGTGTTAATTTGACATTTTGATCTACTGTGTGCATAATATGACTGGCAAAACCTGGTCCTGAGTACGCAACCTCATCCTCGCCACACATGTGGAGTTAGTGATTCGAAGTGAGTCTGTCCTGGTTTGTTCCGAAATCAGGGAGGGCAAGGTTTAGCTTTTCCTAGTATGACATGGATTGTATTAATTTTTAATATACACCGAGGAAGGGGAACTTTTTTGAATTTTTTGAAGTGCTGTTGATGAAGTACATATGGCACGTGCATCTTCTCTTCATAGCAATGCCTTTCTGTTTGCCATTGGAGCATGTTTTAATGCTTGGATTTTTCCTTCACTCAGGTTATGCAGACTGTGCAGTCTGTTTCGAAGTCTCGAGAACTGTGGTCTGATTCCTCTTCAGAAGTGGACTGGATTTTGGCTCAGATCAAAGACCTGATGCAAGAGAACAGGTACATCTCTGATAAGGAGCTGAGGTGAAAGGTACAGTGCAGAGCTGGGCCTGTAGACCTGTTGCACTACCTTTTTACCGTGTTACTCAGCTGATCATGGAGAAAGCAATTCGTTGATTTCCTCAACATCTTTGAGGACTGAGTTGTTAATCTGTGGTAATGAGTTTCCTGTGCCAGATGGTACCCAAGGTGTTGTCCCTGACTTAGCTGTGCTGGCCCCAAGATGAGTCAGCATCTTCAGTGTCTTCAAAAGTTCTCCCAACAACCTTGTGTGGACTTTGATTTCACAGTAACCTTAGAATTCTTCAAAATTGCAGGGCAGTACTTGACCTTTTCTACACTTTCTACCTTTCTATTGCTACAGGGCCTCTAGGACCCAGTGTGTTGAGTCTTTATTATTACTATATAAATCTGCACGAAGATCCCATCCCACTCTGAGAAATGTAATCAGTGTAAATCTGTGGAGGGGAGAGAGTATCCCGTTACAGATACGAGCTGTAACTCCTGATGTTTTAAATATAAGTTTATATATGCCATACAAGCTGCTGATTAGTTTAAGAGGTTATCAGATGTTGTGCCAGGAGAAAACCCTGAGGAAGAGACTTGCACCTTAGTGGCATTGCCCATCGATTGCTGAGCATGGAGTAAGAAGGCATGAAGGTTCTGTAATGAGAAGCATCACTTACTAAACATGGGACTTCTGTATCACTTAAGAAACTGTCTGTTGCTAGATGTTTGGAAGGTACTGGTGGAAGTGAGCTATTGCACCTACCTGTGATGCTGATACTCTCTCCCTAAGCGTCCTCTGTTAGCCACTATCAGAACACAAATGGACCAAGTGCAGCTGTTTTTATATATAAATAGATATTTGAACCTGGCATCAGCTAAATTAAGTCATTTAAACCTTCACTGCTGTGCCTGTCTGTGTACTGGCTGGAGGGCAGGTATGTGGGGAAGGAAAGCCTCTTTGGAGTTCTGTTCAGTGAAAAGATTATGGCACATGATGAGTTTTATAACATATGGTCCTAATGTGAAACCATTGCTGCTAGTCTCTCTTCAGAAGAAGTAACTTTAAAGCAAACAAACAAGAAAGGCAGGGCACCAGTGAGTTGGTGTGCTTAGGAGATGCTGCTTCCAAAATTACAGCAGTTTGAAAAGTTTGTCATCTATCTGGGAAAGTCCTAGAACTAGGTGGCACTTCTCAGGAGCCTGATTTAATTTCCAGCTTTCACTGGCAGTTTTCTGAGAGCTTTCTTTGGAATTCCGGCCCAGTAGCTTAGGTAAGTGTAGTAAACTCAGCTGCTAAGTGTGGCGTAAAGACACTTCAAACATACAGCAAGAATCTGTGAAAAACAGCACCACTGGATCCTTTGTTCCAACGAAAAAATCTGATGGTATATTATCTCTAGGGTATCTGTCATTTCTTAAATTACTCAATCTGGCAGTAATGCTTTCTTAAGAACTTTTTCTTCACTGCATTGTGCTACATTTAATAAGGCTTTTTTGATGGTTCCCTTAAGCACAGGCTTCAAATAAGACAAAGAAAACAGAGAGTAGGAAGCTGATTTCTATGACTATAAAAATGTATTTTTTTCTGGCTTGTGGGTTTTGTTTCCGTTAGCTTTTTTATGTTTTCCTGAGTGACTCCTAATGATCAGGCAACTTCATTAAAATAGCTGCTCTGTTATGCAGGGAAATCCCCCACTTAAAGCAGCCAAGGATGGGGGACTGTTTCACAACTCACAGCTTGCAAAACTAGCAGAGAGCCCAGCCCTTCAGTAGTCATGCTATCGCAGAGAGATTTGCAGCTGCATTTAACTGCCTTGTGCGTTCACTGTTCAGAGAGAAGTTTTGTCAAGAATGTTTTTATTTACATATGTGTGTGTATATTTATTATTTCCAGTAAGTACTGATTCCACAATTCCAGACTTCTGGCGAAACTTGTTGAAAGGAAACGTACATGTTTCTGCATCAGAACAGCTTTGGCAATGAGCTTCCAGCCCTGACTCCTTTTACTTTACAGGCTCTCTCCACTCCTTTTGCTGCTTTAAGCGGTATTAGCTCCAGAAAGCCCCAGGAACTGGGTGTCAGGGACATACTGCTAGTTTGGATACTTTTCTGTGGTTTCCTACTCTTGTCCACAACAGATGTCCGATAGGCCAGCTGCTGTGATGAAGCATTTTCCTTGATTTATGCAGAGTGGTTTGAGTATGTTCACGCATGTGCTTCTTGGGAGCTGGCAGAGCCCAAGTAGGGAGGGCAGGAGACATCCAAAAAAGAGCTGTAGGTGCTGTAGGGAAGAGCAGTTGTGTCCCTACTGCAACTTCTCTGCAAACAGCTGTGTGAGCTGCACCTTAAGGTGTGCCTTGCCAGCAAGTCAGCGGGGATGGTTTTTCCCCTGAAATTTATCCTGTCTCTGTGGGTCAGAGGTCCTCAAATCTTGTCTGGGCTGCTGGCAGAAGACTTGGATCACACTGCAAACGGTAGGTATTTCAGTATCGTAAATGTTCCTGTGCTTTTGAAATACCAAGATATTTGCCTCTGCAACTCGAGCAGAAGTGTTTCCTTCAAGGTTCTTGTTGTGTTCCAGTTTGCACAACTGCACATTCCCTTCAAGTCTAGTGGGATGTGTCCAGCCCAAAACTGGAATATGATTTTAGTGCCTTACAACAAGCTGCAGCACCTCCTCATAGTTCCAAGTTTTTGTCTCTCAAGCTTGTTTCAGAATCGGTGCAAGTGGTGCTTTGATCTGTAAAGGAGTAAGTGGCATTAATAAGGCTGTCTGATTGCTCTAGGGAGGCAGTGGCTGAAGCTCTTATCAGTGATGGTTTTCTCATCCCAAAGATGGATTGTCTGAAGATGCTGAATATCAAGTATGAAGGTTTGTGTTTTGGGCACCACATAAGTAAAAAGTGCATAGCTAGTGTTACATCCAAGTCTGTTCTTTTTTTCTCATTATGTTGAAATCTGTAATTCTCTGCATATTTTTCATATATCTGGGTCCTTAAACATCTTTTGACCTGTTCTCCAGACCCATTTATGGCCACGCTTAGCTATTGCTTTTGCATAAATTTCATGCCATGGAAGGATAGCTCTTTGGCACTGAATGCTGCCTGGCCAAAACGTCTTTTGAAAGCTTGCATCTCTGCCCTTCCCTGCCATATTACCGATTTAATGAATTCCCACTAGTTTCTTTTCTATGTTGAAAATTTGAAGCAAATCCAAATGGGGTTTTTTTGAGCCTCATGGAGTTGCATGGATTTTCTGCAAGAGAATTAGGTACTTAGAGGCAATGAAAATTAATAATTTGTGTATTTCCCTGGGACCTCTTGGAAAAAACAGCCAAAGAACTTTCCAAGAAAGATCCTCAAATTTTTGTGACTATGTTACAGTAGTAAAAATTTAGGAGCTTTTTGATTCTGTGTTGCTTTGCTCAATGTGCCTTCTCTTTGCAGTATATTTTTAGACAGAATAGCTCTTCATGATGTGTGAAATGAGCTGAAACTGGAAAGGCATTACCAAATCAGGTAGATTTTTCCTGTGGTTTACCACGTGATTAGAGCAGGCATTGTATCTTTTGCTTTTACTGAGCTGTTGTGTTCATTATCAATTTGCTGCTTATTTTACTTCCCTAGCATAAGAAAATAATAGTTCCAGGTTCATTGAGGATCCTAGGAAATACCCTGGAGCCAGTGATCTGAGAATAAACTACTTTAGTTTGGAACAAGTGTCACACCTGTGGTTCACAAAAAATTAGAAAACAGTGATCTTTTGCTTTTTTTTTTTTTTTTTTTTTTTTTTTTTTTTTTTCTTTAAAAAAATTAAAAAAAGGTTTTTTTTTTTTTTTTTTTTTTTTTTTTTTTTTTTTTTTTTTTGTCTTCTTGCAGCACATAAAGACGTATGGCAGTTCAAAATTCCTCAGACATTTTACTGCTTTTGGCAGCCTTTGCTGACCGGCCTCCTTTCCCGAAGTTTTACACAGATCCTAATAGAGAAAATGTTTGTGGAGTTGAAGGAATGCTCTGACTCTTCAGAACTCCGGCCTCAGTTCTTGATCTACTGGATTTCTGAGATGCTGACTGGCATTGCCAAAGTAAATGCTGGTGAGTATGTCTGGAATTTCCGTGTGTGAAAAATGTAAGAGTCTCTTCTGCAGTATTGCGAAAACTGGGAGAAGCCAGTCTCTCCAAGGAAAGGTCAGGCCCTTGAGTGCCATTATTTCCAGATATTAGTACTTTTAGGAAATAACAGTAGCAGATAAACAAATAAAGATGTTATATGCAACCTGTTGTAAGTTCCCTGTTCTCTGTTCTTTCCTCACTTAACAGAAGCCTGGCTTTAAAAGATACTTATGTAGTTTTGCTGTCCTTTTTTAGACCTATCACAGGATTTATCATGCCTTCTAAACTTACACAAAAGTAATAAGTAATATTTTGTTTTCTGTTCCTGACTCCTTAGAACTGTTTAAATTGGCAAACTGCATGTTTCACTCCAGAGGCAGGGGCGCAAAACAGTTTTAATTATTCAAAGTGTGTCACAGGAGTTCTGTTAACAGGACTTTCCTGCTGCAGTACAGTGTACCCCAAGGAGGTTTCCAGCTGGTTAATTTTGCCACCTCTTCTGTGCTCTCCTGGTCTGGCGCAGTCTGCACCAAGATTTTGCCAGTATCTGTGGCCGTCACAGGTTCACGCTTGATGCTTTCAGTCAGCAGTGAGCCTGTCTTTTGTGTACCAAGATCCCTGGGTGGCAGCAGTTCCCAGCTGTTAAGTTGGCTCATTGCAGTGCTATCTGGAGCGATGTCAGGTCCCAGAAGCGTTATACTGCATGTATTTGGGACAGTACTGTACAAACACATCTTGGGGTTTTCCTGTCTGGGATGGCGTGCACAGAACCAGCTTGGGAACGTCTGCACCTCACTGTGGTCACGTCTTGCGGAGCTAATCAAGCTGTCAGTGTGTTGGCAAGTCCTTTGTAACAACTTTGATGTATTTGATCCATACATCTGGTCTCAGACTTGGATTGGAATGCCAGCTTATTTGTGGAGGAGTGTTCCAGTAAAAATGCAAAGGCATGAAGGGCATATTTTTAATGAGTTTTGAGCACCTTACTGTTTTCGTTGTCTTCTTTGAAGGGAAGAAGAGACAACACTGTAACAAACAGGTGTCCATGAAGGAGCTCTTCCTCCATAAAGTTCCTTTGCAGTGGATAAGACTGACTGAGAATTGCTTGGAAGCTCCCTGCTGGGCAACCCCACACCTTCTTCAGCTGTAAGTTTGATCCTGTGACCTAGAAAAGGGACAGCAAACAGAGCTCTGCAACAGCTTTGGCCCGCTTCCTTGTGATACGCTGAGTTATAGCTGCATTCCCTTCCTGTCCTTTGCATCTAGTAGAAATTGTGGCAGGTGCATATAAAGCCCTGCTTGTTGCTGCTCACCTCCCCATTGATTCTACAGAGAGAAGAAGGAGAATTTTAAAAGATTGGACCTTCAAAAATGAAAGTGGAGGTTATCTGGGGAGGTATTAAAGAAGCAACCTGGTCAAAAGAAAACGACTTGGTAACAGAGATGTGCCTGCTCATACAGGTGATACAAATTTAGCATAGGTGGTAAATTTTTCGCATGAATACAGCACCGCAGAGATTCTGTTAGATGTATCCCAAGTCCTTAACTTTAATCACAAGGAGGGAGTATTCCAGCATCCACCCAGGAGGGAATAATCAGATTCACCTGTTAGAGGAGATATCTATGAGCAAGCTATACTGGAGGAAACTAACACTTAAAAGGCTGCTCAGCTTGATAAACCTTCCTCTGGAATATTTTTTGCTTTTAAGACTTTTACGTTGCCCTTTTCCTTTCTAGGATACTCACAATCATGAGACCTCGCTTGCCACGTTCTTCGCGGAAAAACCTTCTCTATCTCGCTTCTGTTTACACGGAAGGAAGTGGCCCTTTGTCCAGTCCAGGCCTCTCTTCAGACTGCAGTGAACAGCCAATTTACACTATAGAGAGCTTACAGTGGAGGGCCAGGCAAGAAAATCAGGTTAAAAATCAAGGGCAGACCATAGAGAAACAAGAAGATGTGCTGGAGAGAGATGATGGTGTAGAGGAGGTGGAAGAGGAGGAAGAAGAGATGGTAACTGAAACAAATTCTTTGGAAGGACTTGCTCATTCTGGTAACATGGTGGCTATTGCTGAGAAAAGGGCAGCGCTGCAGGGGTCCGCCTGGCAGATCACTGCAGGTAAAAAATGGCTTTGTAAGACTGACACAATCTTTGTCACTGGCAAATGTTAATCGAAATGCAAAGGCATTGCAGCCCTCTGGGTGTGGCCAGAATTTTGAAGTGTGCTTCAAAATCATCTAAATGCCAAATCACTGAAAACTGGGGGTTTTTTTTCCAGTCTTCTGTTTATGTGCAGGAACCATCTCTCTTAAAATACTGTGAGTGCTTTATCCAGGAGCATGTTGTCACTGCCTCGTTACATTTTTTTATCAAGCTTTTACAAACTCTTTAAAATTTCCATGTGTCCAGTTGATGGGGCAGCATAGCTGTGACTGGTGAAGAATATATGAATGTTTCTTGGACTTGTATTTGACAGACTTGAGGGCATTTGAAAGCAAAGTTTGGAAAGCACCAGTCATATGCTCATAAGTTCTGTGCTCCAGGAAAATTGCTGTTAGGACATGGTGGCAAGCAAAAGAAAGGAACAAGGCAGGTTTTTAGAGGGAATAAACAGTATATCCAGTGTTCCGTTAACTTTTTTATGGTGGCTGTACTTTCTCCTTGGGGCAGAGGGTTCTGTAGCTAAGAAGATTTTTGGATGGGTGATTTATGGAGGGACTTGAGGACAGGAATAGGAGGTTGCTGGAGAGGAGTTGGAGGTAAACTGATATTTAAAGGAAGAAGAAGAAAAGCAGCCATTAGAAGACAATGAACTGTTGTACCTCACTCACAGCAAAATGTTCACATGTCAAAAAAGTAAAAAAAGATCTGCCTAAGCAGCGTGGCTTAGTTATGCTGACGTGAACAGCCTGTTATAAGGGGACACTTTGAGAACAGAAGCAAAATTGTCCTCTGCTTCAGGGACTTTGGTTCAGATCAAGCAAAGCTTTCACTGAAGGAGCACCCATTGTATCCTGAACCACCTGGTGGCTCCACAAATGGCTCCTTCCATTTACAGAAGTATGCAGAAGTAAATTAATGTATGTAAGTCAATGTGTATGTTTCAAATGAAAGTATACTTAAAAGAGGAGGGTAAATATGAGGGTTGCTCTAGAATACTGTGGGGTTTCTTTTGAAGGACCTTGTCTCACAGTGGTTTGGACAAGCTGCACTGTGTAGACTGCGTGATGTTACATGACTCCAGATGCATCCCTGTTGTCTCACATACTGAAGTGGCTTTCTTTGGAAGAGATCATAGAATCACAGACTGGTTTGGGTTGGAAGGGACCTTAAAGACCATCTTGTTCCAACCCCCCTGCCATGGGCAGGGACACCTCCCACTGGCCCAGGTTGCTCAAAGCCTCATCCAGCCTGGCCTTGAACCCCTCCAGGGATGGGGCATCCACAGCTTCTCTGGGCAGCCTGGGCCACTGCTTCACCACCCGCACAGTGAAGAAATTCTTAATATCTAATCTAAATCTGCCCTCTTTCAGCTTAAAACCATTACCCCTCTTCCTGTCACTACACTCCCTGATAAAGAGTGCCTCCCCAAAGACAGTAAGGTTAGAAACAAAATTAATTAAAACTGTAGTTCAAACTTATTTTTGCTGAGTACCTGAGATTGTTCATTTTTGCTGAATGGCTGAGTTGCATGAGATGGTATTTGTGGACTTGGGGGGAATCTTGTTTTTTGAAAATCTCTCTGGGGAGCTCAGACTTCTTGTTTTATGTACTGTTTTTTCCCAGATGAAGTACAATGGAAAGACTTTCCTCTTGGGAAACTCCCAGGTCAGACAGATGACCCTGATGGTCTCATGTTGGATAATTATTCCATGATGTCCCTGCTTGATCAGCCAGTGAGAGATGAGTGGAAGTCTCCCAATACAAAGTGAGTAATGGTGTGGGCAGGACTTGGCTCCTGAACCATGAAATGCATTTGTCTCTCTGTGCCTTGTACTATATGATGTGAAAAATTAAAGATGAGATTTCCTTTTTACTTCTATTAGACTAAACAGATTGACCCAAATATCTAATACTGTCTCTAGTATCCGCTAACTGCACTTCTCTGGGATTTTTCAAGTAATGTGTGTCTTTGGAAGGACCTTTGCAGTTCTGGTGTAATAGCGTAACAGCCTGCTCTCCAGACTGTGCTGACTACTTTCAGTGCTGCCTGGTGCTGTTAGGAACATACAGTCTGCTGATCTCTTAAGAGTTACTAGTCCGGAAGTGCAGAATTTTTAAAACAAGCTACTGAGAGCTGGTGCAGAAACTGCCTGGTGATACACTGGGATAAATAACTTTAATGGGAAGAACTGTGGCCTTGCGATTATAGTGTTCAGGACTAGAAGCCTTATAAGTCATTCAGCCTCCCCCAGTGTCAGTTTTCCCAGACTAGCTAATCTTGTATAGGAAGGAGGAGTCTTTCTAAAATGCACAGTGGTTTGCTGAAGCACTTTAAGGTGTGTTAGTGGGAAAGCCTGAGGATGAAGAGAGAAGGTGTCCTGCATCAGCAATAGTGTGGCCAGCAGGACTAGGGCAGGGATTGTGCCCCTGGACTCGGCACTGGTGAGGCCGCACCTTGAATCCTGGGGTCAGCTTTAGGCCCCTCACCACAAGAAGGACATTGAGGGGCTGGAGCAGGTCCAGAGAAGGGCAACGGAGCTGGGGAAGGGTCTAGAGCACAGGTCTGACGAGGAGCGGCTGAGGGAGCTGAGGGGGTTCAGTCTGGAGAAGAGGAGGCTGAGAGGAGACCTCATCACTCTCTACAACTGCCTGAAAGGAGGGTGCAGTGAGGGGGGTGCTGGGCTCTGCTCTAAAGTAACAAGTGATAGGACAGGAGGAAACAGCCTCAAGTTGCACCAGGGGAGGTTTAGGCTGGATATTAGAAAAAGTTTGTTCACTGTGAAAGAGTGCTCAGGCATTGGAACAGGCTGCCCAGGGAAGTGGTGGAGTCACCATCCCTGGAGGGGTTCAAGAAACGTGTAGATGTGGTGCTTGGGGACATGGTTTAGTGGGTTGGGTGGTGTGGGTTGATGGTTGGACTTGATGATCCTTGAGTTCTTTTCCAACCTTGATGATTCTGTGATTCTATGATTCTAAGGTGGCCACAGGAGGTGGCTGGCTACAGATGACTTTTGTAGCACCTGAGGGAGGAATTGTCTGTACCTCACTGAGGTGGCGAACGTGCGGAGAGTTTCACATCAGTGAATGCAAATGTGTCTCGTTTCTGTGTGCCTGAAATGGATACTATAGTGCACTCCTGAGCAAAGTCTATGTCACTGTAGTCCCAGTTTTTCATCCTGTAATTAATCCAGCATGAGGCAAACTCTGCTCCTCACCCTGCCCCACTGCTGCAGGAAACTCTTCCTGCTTGTTTGTGCTGCATTAGTCTGACAGGACGCTTGCATTGTTGATGGACACAGACAGACAGGAGTCAGTGCTACCCCTGTTGCTGTAACAACTCAGCAGTGTCATAGGAAGTTACTTCATGCAGCCCTAACAGTCATCCTTCGAAACTGAAATATACTCAACACTTACCTCTCTGCGTTTGTCTCCTTCATCTTTCCATGTCATCAAGTCTCGAGAGCTGCTATTTGTAATTGCTGCTCTTCTCATTCCCCTCTGGGAATGTCCTTTTGGTTTGCATTCCTTGGGTTTTTTGCACTGTCTGGAAGTTAAATGCAGTGGCATAATTGGCAATCAGAAATGTGATTTCCATGATATCTTTTGAGGAAGCCAGCTTATAATCTTACCATCTTCACTCCTCCTTCTCTTTCTGAAGGAAACCATTGCAAGGATTATGAGATGCTGCAGCTTAGCGGTTTGGAAGTTATTAAGCACAGCCTTGGCAGGCTTGAAAACTCGACTGCTGTTAACTGGGGCTCTGATCCTCAGCCACAGTATGTTGGCTTTGTCCAGTGACCTTTTCAGAGCTGCAGCTCGTACTTCAAAGCTGCAGATCTGACCTCAGTAAAGAAACACAGGTTGTCGTGGAAATAATGTTAGCATTCTATAAAGCTTTAGTTAGACCACCTCTGTTACTAAATGAAGCTTATCCAGTTAAACCATCCTGTTGAAGATGTTTTAATAGGGTCACTATTTCACCCTGTGAAGTCAAAGGAACTTGAATGCTGTAAACTGTCAAATCTATTTCATCACATACACAATAGGAGATGGTCTTGTATGTATTTTAATCCAAGGAACACCTCAGAATGTAAATGAATGGCAGTTCTTTTCTTAAATGCTTGATATGATAACTTTCCTATCAGTGATTCTTTCCCTGTGGTTGGTGGGCCCAATCTAGTAGCTTCCAAAAAAATGTGAACAACACTCACAGCCATGCATCCTGGGGTGTTGCACTGGGAAGAACTGTTGCACATATTCATATTTTCCCATATTCAGAGTTGCCTTCAGATTAGCATCCAGCAGTTCCGAACCTTCCAAAGAGCAAGGTTTCCATTCTTCTCCATCCTCTTAGTCATTCTCCCTGGGACTAGTCTGCTCTTTTGTCAGTTCAGGCCTGCTGAGATGGTTTTGTTTCTGTGTAAAAAGACCCTTTGAGCGGACGAGCCCTTTGGTGTCAGCCAGCCATGAATCATGTTTCTGGTAACACATTCCATGTTGGGAATAAGGCAAGTTCCTGGAATTTGCAGACCTGCTTCTAGTCTGCAGAACCCAGGCACTCTCGCTGTAGTCACAAATGATAGAGTACGTGATCTCAGAGACTTTAAACATAAATCTCTTTGACTTAATGGTTAGGTAGGTGAGATCACTGATGAAGTAAGGAGCTGCAGTAGAATTCTAATTGGCTACAGTAATCAGTACCATTGGGCATCTAGCTAGAAGTCTCTGACAAGAGATGAGGGGAGGGGTTCTTAATCTGATCCTCTGTGACTCAGTTGCTATTTTTCTGTGCACAGTAGCTGTAATGACCGTTACGGAGGCTGTAATGAAGTGTATGTGGAGTAATGTGATTCACTGTTCTGGCCCGTTTGTGAGCTGCTACTTGAAACCAGCTGTAGGCTTCAGGTGTTCTGTAATCCCAGTATATTTCTTGGAGTGGTTTCTGTAATAACAGGAACTAAAAAGTCACTTAATTTTCTAGGTTCTGCTCTACAAGCAAAGGAATTCCTCTAGATATAAACTTTAACATCTCCATCAGTGGTATGATATAAAGGAGATAGAACTTAGCCATGCTGAAAATCCACAGCACATATTACTCAGTTCATTTGTTAATAAAAATTCACTAAAATTACTAATAAATGGGGTGGGGTTTTTGTAATTTTTTGGATATCAAGAAAAGCTTTGCTAGTGTCACCAGGAGTTAAAGTGAGTGCTGGTATTGAAGTCATCAATGGAATATAAATCGTCTCATGTGCCTCTCTGGTCCATTCCAAGAAATGGGATACAATCATAGAATAGCCCAGGCTGGAAAGGACCTTGAAATATCATCGGGTCCAGCTTTCCATGGGAAAGGGAGCCTAGGTGAGATTATACAAACTCCATCCTTGCCAAATTCCCCTTATCTAATAGGCTAAGCTTGATAGCAGGAGGAATAAGACCTGCAGAAGCAGAAACTATTGCTATGGTGCTGCCCTATTTTTGCAGCTGATGTGCTTACCAATATTTTATCCTTGCTGCTTTTATTCCACATGTTATGTGGTAACAGCAGTGGTTTGGGATCTTTGGTAGTCTGTTTCTTTTACCTGTAATCCTCTAGTTGCAGGTGGTTGGAGAGATGATCTGGTTGTTCTTTTGTTGGTCTCCCAGCCCCAGCTGCTTTGTCTCCTTTTCCATCCCCATGCCAGTGGTCATTCTGCTGCAGCTTCCAGCATCTGTGGTGGTGAGAGTGGGCAGGTGGTTGGTTGTTTTGTTGAATACAAGTGCCAGCAGTGGCAATATGCTCCTGTACTCGTACAGGGAAGGTGAAGAATTGAGATTTATCACCATGATAACATTCTATATCCCAAATTCCTCAAAGTCTGTGCCATCAGTACACTGCAGCTGGCAAAACACTTTGCAGTTTCTATTGCTTTATCATCAGCAAGGTAATGACCGATGTTCTCATTGCTTTTCCTTTGGTTTTGGCTGCTTTTGTTGAATCCCTACTAAATATTTCCTTCTGCCACTCTTACAGGTTTTGCTTGCTCGCCCTTCATACCTGAGGCCCAGCTGACCTGGAGATGTTTTCTAGATAGTGTTTACAATGTATTTTGGTTATGTTCCAATAAGAAAAAGTCCTCTGTGTTTAGAGTTCCATCATAGATCCTAACAACTAGGAAGCAGAAGCACGAAGCAAGCAACCACTGGGTGTACCTGGTCCTGCTGCACCTCAGTGTTATGTTTCTTTCTCCTTATCAAACTTCGACACTTGTAGCTGCTTTTGTGATGCTCAGTTGTTGCAGTGAGACATGTGAAGCAGTTTAAATCTCAGCAGTTTTACAGCACTGGCAAGCAGTAGTTGAGTTTCACGATTAAATGGTGACTTGGTAAAGCTTCCAGTCTGTCCCTGACTTAATATCACCTCTTGTGACTTCAGAATCAATTGGATCTAATTCTTTGGATTTGGAGGGTGTATAAGTGTATGTAGGAAAGAGTTTTGGGAGGTAAAACTTGTTAGGATTTCTGAAAATCCATTAAATGTCCAAAGTGGGTAAGATTTCTGTCTTTCCGAAACTTGCTTTCCTTTTCATGCTTTAAGAGCAAAGCCTCACAGTGTCGTTAACCTGGAAACTGGAGCTGTGGTTCCAGGAGTCATGATGTCTGTGAAGGTGCTTTGAGATTCTTGCTTGAATAGTTTGCAAAGAGCATATTTAAAGGATCTTAAGAAAAAAACCCAAACACAAAACAAACGCCCACACATCAACAAGTGCTTCTAAACACAAGGCT